TAAAATGAGATAGCTTAGTGAGTAAAAGCATCTGCTATCAAACTTCATGACCCTGGGACCCACAACGGTAGGAGAGAATCAACTCTAACATGTTGTCGTGAGACCTCTACACATGGCACTGTTGAAACATTTACATGTGCGTGTGTGTATAAACACACACACAAATATATAATTAACAAATAGAAAAAAATGAAACGTGGATACTTAATATATTAACTAAACTTTAAAAAGATAAAGTCATTCTCCTTAAACACAGAATGACAAAAATCAGCTATCTATATTTTAAGTATTACAGGCTTTAAACTTTTATTTACATATAGGAAAAGAGACTATTAGAATGTTAACAGCAATTACATGAAATGGTCAGAGAACAGCAGTATGTCTACTTAAAATCAATACAATACAAATATCAGAAAACAATAAATTTATCTTTCAAAAGTAAATGTTTTGGGGGCTGGAGAGATGGCTCAGCAATTAAGAGCACTGGCTGCTCTTCCAGAAGTCCTGGGTTTGAATCCCAGCAGTCTCATGGTAGCTCATAACCATCTATACATAACTCTAGTCCCAGGGGATTGGACAGCCTCCTCTGACCTCTGAGGGTACCAAGCACACACAGGGTGCAGAGATAGGCATGCAGGCAAAACACTCACACACACACACACACACACACACACACACACACACACACACACACACACACATAAATAAAATCTTAAAAAAATGTAAAAACAGTAAATCTTAAAAAAGTAACTTTTTTCTTTTACACAATCAGTGCTTATATAACTAGTCCTTAATCAAATGTAATAATAAACCATTGCAAAATTGTTACTGTAGGTAGGTCTTTGTTTTGTTTTTCTAAGGCAGAGTCTCACTATGGTGCCCTGGCTGTCCTTGAACTCAATATATAAACTAGGATGGCCTGGAACTTACAGCAATTCTCCTGCCTCTACTTCGTAATTCCATCTTCAATCTCCAAATGATGAAATTACAGATGTGGGCTGTCATGTTGACCTATTAACTAGTTTAAAAAATAAAATAAAAGCTACCTATTAGTACAAGTTTAATTCTGATAAAATTTCAGAAATCTACTTTAAGGGAGAGGAAAAAGCAAACAAACCATTTGGGAGTGAGGTTCTTTAATAACATTAAAACACGTGCGTCACAATGGTCCTGTGACCTCCTTCCTTCCCTCCCATCCACTACAGGTCTACTTCCTGCACAGTTCAGGAGTGATGTCTTAGTCCTGCTGATGACAGTTCAGTACATGCCCTGATCTGGGGCTGCCCCTCCCCCACTGTCCTGCATTTATAACCTGAACACAAGGTAAGGTAAGGCTTGTAATTTTTCAAAAGTGCCCATATCTGTAAAATTTCACAACTGTCTTACTCACTAGACAAAGACAACCACCTTATAAAGCTACAGAATACTGGAATGATAAACACACTTGGCTTCTCCTACAGCTAGACACTAACATTAGATGGAATCTATTCTCCTGTGCAGAACATTTGCTAAGGTCTGACCCAGAATGGAAGCAAGCAGTTGCCAAAATGGCATTCCACGGATCTACAGTGAAGAGCAGGCACATGAACACCCGCAGTCGGCTAGTTATGGACCAGAACTTATGTGACTACGCTTAGTAATCGGAATCTTGAGTTCTAAGTCAATATTAATTTACAACGCTGATCAATAGACAAACCAAATACGATAACGGACTCCAAAGAATGCCCCAAGTTTATCTTTAATGATACCATGCCGGGCATAATTTACAAAACCAAACCTCTGATCTAGGATTCTGTCCTCTCACCAAGTGACTTTTCTCACCTATGTCTTGTGTACAATTCCTGCTGGAAGCGTATCACAGTATTTGGTACCTGATGTAAATTTATTTTTTACAGTGTATCTACACACACAATATACAGAAACAATAAGAAACAACTCTTCCTTAGATACATTGTTTGCTACTATATGCCATAATTACATGTTACTTATAAACCAGATGTGGTAACAAATGCCTATAATCCCAGCACTCAGGAAGTGGAGGTGGGAGAGCTCCAGTTTAAAGCCAGCAGGACTCAAAACAACCAAACAAATTTATCTGCAACACATGGTACACTGCCTACCTTAACACTACATTAGCTCTCATTGTGTTTAATTCACAAGCTTATTTAATGTCTGCAGAATCAGCCACCAGGCGCCAACATTTTCTGTTCTGTTTTGTCAGAAATGGCAATACTTATTCCTGCTGTGTGCTTACTGTTCAGTTTGAGAAACTAACACTAAGTATACCTCAATCCCCACACTGCCTCTGCTTTACAGGGCTGTTAGGGAAACTAAATGAGGTGTATGTAGGCATTCTGAGACTGCTGTAACCCAGTGTGCCGAGATTATCAAGTAAATACACAGGGCAGCAAGCAGCTACTCAAAAACTTCAGACAGCTGTTTTCAATATGGTAATGTGATGCAACAAGCAAAAAAATTTTCATTTTCTAAAATATTTACAGCAAAAGTACAGATAGGGTTCCTCTGTGTAACAACTCTGGTTGTCCTGGAACTCACAGAAATCCTCCTGCCTCTGCCTCCCAGACTGCCAGGATTAAAGGCGTGAGCCACCACGACTGGCATAAAATTATTTTAAATATAAGATTTTTAAAATATCTAATACACTTAAAGGGAAACACCTCAGACCAATATGGAACATGCTGCAGACCTAAGTATAATAAGACCAGAAAACTATGGACATCTTTATAAAATCTTGGAAGGGAGGTCTTTATACAAAACAGACTGAGCAACTTTACAAAGTAAAAAAAAAAAAAGCGCCATTTTTCTTTACAACCACCTACATACATTAAATTTATGATAAATATTTGCCCACATAAAGAGTTTTTTTTTTTTCAAGAATAAAAAAGCTATTACCAGAAAATGTAAAAGCAATCACAAAGTTAAGAATAGCTTCAGTGTGGAAGATAAAACACCATTACACCCTCACTGGTGGGAATATACTCTGACACATTTCCAGGAAGGCACCAATGACAACATGCTTTCAAACTCTACAAGGTCTGTATGAGCAGCCTAGAAATCCTACCAGTTTGAACAGATCCCAAGAAGGGGCGCAGGGGATGAAGGAAGGACCAGGACATATAGTGGGGAAAAAAGGATATTTATACAGTGGGACACCAGTCAAGTAAATAAATTAATAAAAATGGTGATACAGATCATTTTAACATAGGAAGGTGTTTACAAATACTTAGATTATATGGTTATGATCTCTTTTGGCTTAAAACAAACAAATAAAAAATCATACAAATTGCAAAAAGACACACCAGAATGTTAATGGTGGATCAGGCAGCTGGCTCATACAGGGCTTTGATGATTTTAAGTAAAAAGCACCCCTCTTGGCAGACAGCCCCATAGGCACATAGCTGTCCAAACCTCGGCAGAGTCTGAGTGTAGGAGCCCTTCTCCAAAGCAGACCCACCATGACTACTAGGTCCTTGGCCTTGAAGGCTGAGAATGGACTCCAGCCTCCTCTCACCCACATTTTCTTAAAAGAATGTCCTTGTGCTGGAATCTTCAACTAGCCATGCAATCTGCACAGGCTTACAATTACAATAAACTCGAAATTTACTATTTGAGCATAAGGCTAATAAATACTGATTCTGTAAAAAGAAGTTTTGCCTAATTCTTTCAAAGCTGCTAAGCCCAGCTTTATTTTCTGTTCTGCTACAACCCCTTATACTCTGCCCAATTCTGAGATACTTTGTACAACTTATCTACTTAAATGCCTATTACCAAGGAAATCTCTATCCTACAACAGCACCGTCTGAGCTGCCATGATGGTCCACTCATGTAAGTGGCTGAGACAAGAGGACTACCCAGAAGTTAGCCTGGGGCCAGTCCGGGCGAGGACCTGCAGAAGCACTAGCGAAGTGAAGACACTCAGTGCTAGAAGTAAGAAAGGCAGACAGGAAGGCAAAAGGTAATCTACAAAAATAAATCTCTTCCCCTGCACCCCCAAGTCGCTTCGGTTGAAAGTGTACTTCAGAAACAAGCAATTTTCATCATTCTCTCTTTAACTCTGGGTGGAAGATTTATTTCGTCATCACATAGTGAGCTCCCAAGAAAAGACAGCAATTTAAATAAAAATTGTACATGATTACTGGGCAGTTAGGCAAGGCATGTGTAAGATAATACAACCACTGGACTGGGATTAAAGGAGACTGGGCTCTTTTCTTGGCCCCGTGGAATATGTAATTTTACATAAGCAAAATCACAACCTCTGGGTCTCATTTTCCTCATTTCTGAAGTGGAGGTTGGGAATTTAAAGAAAAACAAAAAACAAAAAAACCACCCTTCCAGGGCCCCTTTCAGCTGGTGACAGGACGTCACGTCGCCTTCCACCCTGGAGGAGCTCACTTGTTTTCTGAGCCACACAGCTCATTTAAGGTCCTTATGCTTCTCTTAAAAATGTCATTGCCCCAACGGTTCTCACCTCTAGAAATCTAGTCTTGCTCGGAATGAAAGGAAAAAAAAACGGTCAAGATCCCCTAACAAAATACTCTTTAAAAGGATTTCAAAAAGATAAAATTGTTGAAACATAAAGGTAATAATGGAACTCGCTTGTCCACCTTCTTCCCTAACATTTTTTTTTTTTGAACAAAAAGGGCACCTTAAAGCAACAGTACGACACCCAGAAGATGGATTCACTATCTCTTTTTAAAACAATGAGTTCGCGCAGAGAAAAGCTGCTAACATTCAACCATCACTCCAATGTTTTGAAGGCTCGGGGCGGGCGGGCGCGCGGGGAAGGGGTGTTTAGATAGGACTGTCTTTCCCCAAAACAAAATCCGCAAGGCAGAAAAGCGCTGTGACCTCCGAGCACGAGGAAGCCCTCCCCGAGCCGGCCTTTCTCGGTCGGAATTCAAGTGCATTTTCGCGGACAATGTGCCCCAGTGATTAACTCCCCCGTCACACGTCCCTGCAACACACACACACACACACACCCGGCGCTCGCCCGCACTCTCCCGGGCGTCCGGGTGGCAGCGTCGCCGAGTCACAAGATAGCGGACAGTGGAAATTTCCTCTCCCCAGGCAGGCGAGGGGCAGGTCCGGCTTCCCCAGTCGGCGCGGCCCGGGCCTCCAGGGCGCGCTCCCCACAAAGGAGGCCTGGCCCGGCCGGCGGGTCCCGCTTCCGGCGCCGCTCGCGGCGGGAACCGGCAGCACGTGCGCCCCGCTCGGGCCGGGGAAGCGGCCGCCTTAGCCTCGGAGCCGGGCCACCAAGGCCGCGGGCAATGAATGGGGCCGTCCGCGGCGCCGCCCGCCCCGCCGCGCGCTCACCCCAGCTCTTGGCGGTGCGCCCCAGGCACTCTCCGCTGGTCGGGTTGTAGAGGAACAGCTTCCACTCGGCCAGGCTCTGATGGAAGGACTTCTTCTCAGTCTTCGTCATGGTGGGCGTGCGGAAGGCGAGGCGAACGCAGGCCGCGGGGCTGGGGGCGACGAGGGGCTCGGCGGCGCGTCCTGGCGACGGCGGCGCAGCCCAGCGACTGCGGCAGAGGACGGCAGGGCCGCAGACAACTCTCCGTTACTAGACCACTCGAGCCGACTGCGCCGCGCCGGGCCGGGCGGCCGCTGGGGCCGCGGGAGCCTGACGTCTCCGCCCTCCGCAGCCAATCCCCGCGCCGCTGGCGCGCACCGCGGCCGCTGCCTCCCGCCCGGCTGGGCGCGGCCCGAAGGCCCGGGGCCGCCCGGGTGGCCCCGCCCCCGGCAGCCACGCCCATGACGCCAGCGCCCCGCCCCCGAGCAGGCCCCGCCCCGGCTCCCTGCGCCTGTGGCCCCCGCCCAGGTGCGAGGAAGCTAGCACCGCGGGGCTGCGGGCGGAAGTCTGGAGGGCACAGGGACCGGCTGGGTGGTGGCCTGAGGACGGTGGGCACCCGAGTCTGCAGCGCTCTCCACTGGAAGCCCAGGCCTCGGGCCATCAGCCTGAGGTGTAGCCGTCAAAGCCTGGAGGGTGTCCTCGGCTCGGGAGCCTCCTGCAAACCGTCGCTGTGCGTTCTCCTCGGGGGTCTCTATGACGTCGCTAAAAGACACCTGCGGCGGGGCCTTGGCAGCATTTGTGGCGTTCAGTGTGGACTGGCTGCTGTGGCCACCTGACCCAGGGCCTCGGGCATGGCAGTTTTGTTCTAAATATGCTATTGTTAACGAAATGGAGTACCGCATACGTTTTCTCCAGATTCAATTAAGCATATCAGTTAAATCAATATAAATGTTTTCCCGAGATTCCTGTCCACTGAAAGATGCCCTGATCTTTTTGCCCGGCCACTCCAATTGTTAACTACAATACTTGATGGAGTGTGGATGCTTGAACCACTTTGCTGGTGTTTTCTTTGCCACTGGTGGCCGCTGCGCCAGGGAGGAGCGGAGGATGCAAGTGGCATTCTACAGGAGAGGGAGCTGAAGAGCAAAGTGCTCTCACACCATAGATGGGTTTTTAAAAGACCCAAGATGGGAGTTGGAGCAGAAGGTGAGATTTTTTTTTCCGGAAAAGAAATGGAGCATTGCCTCTGTTAAATAACAATAACGAATGAATAAACGCAACACACTTTGTTTGCAATAATTTTCTTCATTAACACCCCGCCCCAATTTATCATGACTATCCAAAATCAAGTTTGGTTTAGCCTTCCTATGTAGCTTCAGGTGACTTGACACTATGTATCCCAGCTCCAGTCCTCCTGCCTCAGCTTCTTGAGTTTACAAGCATGTGCTGCCATCCTGATTTCCAGTTTTTAACTGTTTTGTTTTGGGGTACTGGGGTTTTGGGGCGAGAATGGAACCCATGACTTCATACATACACTACAAGCACATTACTAACTGAGCTGTATCCTCAGCCCTCCAGTTATTTTTTTAAGCTAATAACATCAGAAGGTTTGCAGAAACATTTTGTAGAGTTTGGCATGGAGCTGATATTAGAAATACCAAAATACCATGCAAGGAGCCTAGAGTACATTTCTTTAGATTATAGGCAAGGTTAAAGACTAAGGATTGGAAATAATTTTACCTCAAAAACTGAACTGTACACGAGGGTACAGCTAGAGTGCTGATAGAATTAACTACAAGCTTTTTAGTTTAGGTAAGAAGAAAGATACATAGTCTATCTGGAGTCAAATATAAAACCTGTCTGCTTATTTTTGTGTGTGTATGTGCTAATAATAAGCATACTTAAATAATTACCTGGTGCACACAAAGAAAATGGAAAATAAGAGCATTATGAAACTGTGTTTCAAAGATGTTAGTGTCTGTCTGAGAGTTTCGGTTTCTGTGTTTTTAGTAGCCATAATATGGCTTTTATACTTAGTGCTTTGTGGTTTTTCTAAATAAGGGTTTAAATACAAATATAATTCAGTAAACACTTTCAAAACCCATGCCTAGTCTAGTCAGTACAGCAGCTAGTTCCAACAGATTTCAATTTGGCAAAAATATTATACTCTACTCCAGCAATATGGGGACTCTTTGTTTCTCCTCTGTGTAATAATCGAGCATGACCTGGAAGAGAAAACACTGATTGTCTTGGGATATTAGCCTGCCAAATATGAGCAGATGAAATATCAAATTCAGTCAGTTTTATTCCTTGTAGGTAACCTTCTATTTTACAAGAGAAGTCGCTTTGCCAAGGTAAAATGCAGGATGCCAAATTAAATTTGAATTTCAGAAATGATGCCTAACTTTCTTATTATAAGTATTTTTAATTTTTCCCCTCTTTTTTATATGTGTGGGTGTTTTGCTTGCACTATGTCTGTGTAAAACGTGTGCAGTGCCCAAGGAGGTCAGAAGAGGGCATGTCCCTGGATGTCACAGACCATCGGGAGTTGCCCTGTAAGTGCTGAGAATTAAACCTAGGTTCTCTGGAAGAACAGCCAGTGCTTTGAACTTCTGAGCCATCTCTCCAGCACTAGTATAAGTTTTTTTAGTAAGATATTTGGTACAGGGCTGGCAAGATGGCTTGGCAGGGTAAGGGACTTGCTGCCAAGTCTGTAGGCCTGAGTTTGATCCCCGGGACCCACATGGTGGAGGGCGAGAACTGACTCCTGCAAGTTGTCCTCTGACCACCGCGCATGTGCTGTGGGATGTTCAAGCACACTCACAATAAATAAATAATTGGAATAAATTTAAAATAATAATAACTTGGGATAGTTGCCCTGAAAAACACTGGGTTTTACCTATCTGAAATTAAATACAGGTGCATTTAACTTTGAGTATCTTATATTTGTATTTGGCGAATCTGACAGCCCTACCTACCGTAGAAAACAAACTTAGAAACCCACGGTAATAATGGCCATGCGTAGATAACTAACATCCTTGCCCTGGACTGAGTGGTTAGTGCATAATCTTCACAAAAACCCAAATCTGAAAGTGTTTGCCTAATTTTATAAATGAGTAAACCAATGTGTAGAGAAACTAACTCACTGTGGTCACAATGCTAATGAATAACAACAGTTAGATTTAAGTGAGTATCTCTCTTCTGCTGCCCAAGGTAGAAATCTGGCAAAAAGTCATCAAGCTGAGGGAATCGAAAGGAAGACCCATTGTAGGCCACTTACTGGGTGGCAAAATCCATTTCCCACTTTCTGTGAATGCAGATAGAATCGTTCAGCCCTTAATTTACTGAAAATCTTAGGTTCGTTCCTGAATTTTAGAAGCACGGATAGAAAAAAGAGTTTGGGTTCTTCAAATGACTTTGTCTTTTGTAACTGGGTCTATAACGGATATGATGTTGGCACTGAGTTGCTGGAAGCTTTGTCCCTGAGAGAATGGATATTAAATTTCCTGAGCCAAGCCTGCTGGCACATGCCTCTAGTCTCATCACAAGGGAGGCAGGAGGATCAGGAGGAGTTCGAGGTCAGCCTTGGCTACAAAGCAAGTTTGAGGTCAGCCTAAGCTACATGAGACCCTTCCTCAAAAACGACAAGGGCCGGGCGGTGGTGGCGCACGCCTTTAATCTCAACACTCGGGAGGCAGAGCCAGGCGGATCTCTGTGAGTTCGAGGCCAGCCTGGTCTACAGAGTGAGTTCTAGGAAAGGCGCAAAGCTACACAGAGAAACCCTGTCTCAAAAAAAAAACTGAACAAACCAGATATAACATAATAAATCCAAATGACCGACTCACTGTGAGAGGTTATTTACTTAATTCAGCTGTGAAATTCTGCAGCACTGAATGGAGGTAAACCACAGGTGTTGATTTACTGAAGCTGGTAGATGAATTAAAGGGGTCCACTAAACTCTGCTTTGTGTAATTTTGAAATTTCCCATAGTAGGCCCTTTTAAAAGTATTGGCAGTACTCAGAGAACGACCAGTGCTTCAGTAGCATGCATGATGTGTTGAATTTAATCCTAGGACCAAATATGGGCAGGGGATAGGCAAACTCCCTGATACGTATTTTTCTGATTCACTTAGCTGAAAAACAGCCAGAAGGAGCTATAAATCCAATGTTGTTGTTTTTCTGGTTGGTTTAAAGGGAGCACATGAGGTCTCACCACTAGTCAAAGCTATTGGTAGTTAACAGCTACCAAAAGTGCGGGTATGTGTGTACAGTACTGAAAATAGAAGCTGGATTGCCGGGGGTGATGGCACACGCCTTTAATCCCAGCACTGGGGAGACGGAGGCAAGCGGATCTGAGTTCGAGGGCAGCCTGGTCTACAGAGTGAGTTCTAGATCAGCCAGACTACACAGAGAAACCCTGTCTCCAAAAAAACAAACAAAACCCAACAAGGAAACTGGGACCTCAGCAACTGCTGGGCAAGCATCGAGCTAAGCCTAGTCCTCTTTTTATTCTGAGACAGACTCTCACACACTTATTCAAGCTAGCTTTAAACTTGAAATCCCCCTGCCTCGACCTCCTAAGTAGATGGATGGGATGGCAGGCCTGTACTACAAGAAGTTAAAATTTTCTAAAATTAAAAAAGAAAATCAGAAGAAAAAAAAAGAAAAGAAAATCAGGGCTGGGGATAAAGTTTAGTTTACAGCATGCTACCCTAGCATGCATGAGGTCACTGGTTTGAGTCCTAGCACCACATAGGTGTCCCACACCTGTAGCTTCAACACTTGGGAGGCAGATGAGCCCTAACCCTAACTGGAGGATCAGGCGTTCAGGGCCTTCCACAACTACATATTGTTTTCGAGGCCAACACTGTCAGGAGACTTGTTCCAAAAACAAAAACATCAGTTCAGGCACAGTGGTACACATCTGCCATCCCGGTACTCAGGAGACAGAGGAAAAAGGACAGCCACAAATTCAAGGCCAGCT